TGAAAAGTTTTCCTCTTGCCCTATACCCCTATTTCTCTCTTCCAGAGCAACCAATATTAATTAGTTTTTTGTGTGTTCTTCCAGAACTATTTTATACATATGCCAGCAGAATAGCTCCTTAAAACACACACACACACACACACTCCAGCGTACTACACCAACGATTCTACACCTTGCTTTTTATGCTTAATATACATTTTTTATAGTTGCTTAGTATTCCACTGTATGGATGTATCATAACTTATTTGACCACCCTCTACCGATGGACATTTAGTCCATTTCCAGTAGTTTCTGATCACAAACCATGTCACAATGTGCAATATACGTTGCACAATGTAACTCTCCTTGTACAATATAACACTGCACAAATATGATTGTGTCAGCAGGGTAAATTCCTAGAGGTGGAATTGCTGAGTCAAAGAGTATATGCACTGTAATTTTGTTAGCTGCTCCTAGAGCTGCGCCAGTTTATATTTCTACCAACTGCGTATGTCAGTGTGAAGTGACTTTTTCCTCTCACTTTCGTCAACGGGTTCAGTTATCAAATTTTTCTATCTTTGAGTGAAAAATACGTCTTTAACAGAGTTTAATTTTCTTTTCCCTTGTGATGGTAAGAATTTTTAATATATCTAAGCATCATTGTATTTCCTTACCTATCAACTTTCCATTCTTTTGCCTATTTTTCTTTTGAGTTGTTAGTCTTTTTCTCATTAATTTGTTGTATATATTAGGAAAATAAGTTCTTTCCTGTGTTATGAGTTGTAAATTTTTTTAGCAAGCTTTTTCTTTGCCTTTGGACTTTAAAGAGGCTTGTTTTAGAAATAAGATACTGAGGCTGAGAAGCCAAATTCCTTGTATAGGAGACACTCGGCGAGCCAGTGGGAAAGTCAAAGCTACGTCCAGGTCATATAACTTCTCGTACATGTGTCTTGGATTATCAACAAGCCTCATCTGTAAAGTCTAGGGATTGAGCTAAGTGACTTCCCACTTATCTAAAAAGAGAAACTGGAGTAGGTGTACATCCTTTATCACACAAATTTTCCTTAATTGGATGATAAGTGTTTATTGAGCACTTATTAGCATAAACAAACTCCATGTACCCTGGGAACTGAGACCAGCTCCCCTTCTCAATTTCATGGTCTTCGTCACTGGCACCACCAGTTGTCTCCCGGTCAGTTCCCTCTGTATTTATTTATTCTTCTTTTCTCCCTTCCCCTCACAGCAGTCATTGTCCAAACCTGCTTTTTTCCGGCAAAATTCAGAGAGGAGAAACTTCAAACTGCTGGACACCAGGAAGCTGAGTCGGGATGGAACTGGATCCCCTTCCAAAATCAGCCCCCCCTCCACTCCCAGCAGCCCTGATGACACGTTCTTTAATCTTGGAGACCCACAGAACGGCAGGAAGAAGAGAAAGATACCCAAGGTAACGCTTGCAACAAGCTTCAAGCTCAAATATGCACTTCCCTTATCTGCGAAGGAAGGCTGCAGAGGAGTCCAGGTGGAGAGCAAATCACTGGGCCCTCTTCTACCTGTCTTGTCACAGGCCAGGTGGACACAGTGAAGCCAGCAGTGTGGAATATCTGGGCCTTTGTCCTAATAATTGCTGTGATCCTGTAGCCCTCCTCTTAGCCATCCCTCCCCAGCCTTCGCTACCCTTCTGATCCCAGACAAGGTTTTCAGTGCCCGTCCTCAAAAGGCCACAGCCCCTCCTTCATAGTCTCAAAAAGCAGAACTCCATCCATCATGCTCTGACCTGAAACTTCATCAACACCCACCACAGAGGCAGGTACCAGTCTGTGCTCTGAGGCAGCTCTTGTCAAAAACGCACCTCCTGGCTCTTTGCAGACCAAAAGGTAACACATGCCCAAGGGCTGGGATGTGCTTCCTTACCTGTCTGTGGTCGATTCAATTTCCTTTTGCTCAGTTCCAGCCCTGCAGTGCTGGTCATTCCTCATTGACCAATTTGGTACTATACAGGAGGCAAAATTTCTCCTCTGCCCTCTTAGGGTCTCCAGCTGGGCCTAATTAAACTGATGTAAAACAGATTAACAGGAGAAATGCATATGAATTTTATTTACATGTACATGGGAACCATCACAAGAAAAATGGAAGACCCAAAGATGTGACTAGGCCTAAGTGCTCATATACCAGGTTGGACAAAGAGTGGCTGTCATGGAGAAGTAACTAGGAAGATAAGGGTTAGTTTAACAAGGTTGTACAGATTTGTCTTGGCCTGGACTCCCCATCTCTGGTGATATGAATGTTTCTTCCCTTCTGGTATAGGGACGGCATCTTTTACTTGGTAGTTTCATCCCCTGCTTTC